AATAACTCGCTGTAATATGTAGATAATTTTTAAGAGTTAGCACTTAGTTATAAATAATGAAACAAGGTAGTTAGATAATCTTAGTCATTATGGATTTACATGGCCACTATTAAATTTTATTTTTTTAACAGTATTTGTCCTATTAAAATCAAAATCTAATAAAATTTCACAGTTTAAAATATATGTAATTTATGATATTGATTCTTAAAGGATATTAGGATAATTATACATTAAAAGCTACAAAACATTTATGTTTTAAAGACTTACATTCAAAATCAATTTTAATATACGTACTTTTTACAAAACATTTTATGTTTTGTAACAAAAACACTCAACAAAATATTTATCCGTCATTTTAATTTGAAGCCTTCCTAGACATTTTGGCTAGTTTATATCGATTTCGTTCTCTTTAAGCATTTTTTCTAACAATTAAAGATTTGTCTTAATATGCAAACCAATGCTCTGGCTAGTTTCTGCATGCTCTACGTCCTAACTTGTCAAACTCTCTACAATGTACCTATGAGGGTTTACTTGATCTGGTAAAAGTTAAATAGTCCAAAACCCCTGACATATGTGAAGGACATTATCGCTATGTCTAAAAGTAACTACAATATCAGACCAAGGTTTAAGTAAGTCTCTTATTTAAAAAGAACTTAGAACATAAAGGCTTGTTCTGATACTAACAAAATCAATTACAGCTCACAGTGACATAACTAAACAAGAACAGTCAAATTCAAACTAAAATGTGGACTAGTGGTCAAAGATTATACAATTTAATTTTAATTTAATCTCGCTCAGTAACTCTATCATATGAGGAAATAGAAATGGGAAATATAGTAAAGCTGAATCAAAATAATTGGGTAATTTACAAAATAATAACTGCACATATCTTCGAAGAATAATTTCTTTATGTATTCAGTTTCTTTCTTCAACAAGTTTTCTTTTCATTTTGGGATTTTCTGAATTAAAAGGATTTCTGTTATTCTAAAGAAACACTAAATGCAGTTTGGAATATATAGAAAAGTGGCTAATTTTACTTTCTTTGGTAATATGAATATTCAGAAGATATATGAAATATATATGGCAAAGGCCGGTTACAGAGTTGGTATGGCAGAATTTTTAGAATTTAACAACATAACATACGGAACAATAAAATCTAGAAATGGCAAAAATTTTTTAAGAATTTAGAGCAAGGCATTGGAAGCAGAAATTTCGAAAGGCACTATCCACAGAGATTAGATCAGATGATCATGTGGAAAATGCCTAGTGCCTGCTCTGTGAATAATGCATTAAGGTATATTAGATTAATCTTTTAAATTGTAAGTTTTCAATTTCTTTATTAATAAAAAAAAACCTCTTACTATAATGCCTGCCCATGTGATAAGATTTAATATTTTTGATATTTTCCATGCTTATGTCTAGTGAAAAGTAGAGGAAAAAAAAGGGAAGATAAATATGTTAAGAAAAAGATTCTAGTATCAGATTCAGATATTATGCTTCCATTCCTAGACATTCAAATATTATGTTTCCATTGTTCTTCCAGACGCTCTCCAAAAAGTAAGAAATTCAATGCAAACTTTCTGTAAAATGCATCCATTATGTGTTGATAACACAGAGGCATTTTTCATTTTCTCATATAGTTCTCGAATATTCTAGAAACGTGTGTCTATAAATCTTGCTTTCAAATCCTTCTAAACTTTCCCAGCTGTAAAAAGTAAGAAATTCAATGAAAACTTTCTGTAAAATGCATCCATTACGTGTTGATAACACGGAGGCATTTTTCATTTTCTTATATAGTTTTCAAACATTCTAAAATCGTGTGTCCATAAATCTTGCTTTCAAATCCTTCTAAACTTTCCCAGCTGCAATGTCTAAAATCCTACAGAAAAATTATCCCTGCCAATTCTGTAACAGCAAAAAGCCAGAAATATTTTGGAAAAAAAAGGGGGAGGGGGAAAAGTGTAAAATTAATTTTATAGAGAAAATTTATGCATATTATGAGAATTCTGAATATTCCAAGACAATTACATGGGGAAAACTCTTACTATGACAAAATTAAAAAGAACACACTTTTAATAAATTACATAGCTAATTTTGCTTTTGCTAAGAGCTGTTTCATAAATTGTACCTTGTTTATTTTTCAGATTCAAAATTTGTGTAATAAATTGCCAAAATGAAACTTCATAATATGACAGCAAAAAATAAAAATGTTTTAGTTTAATGTTATTTTTTAAATAAAAGTTCAATATATTACCATTATTTTAATGAAATTTATCAATGTTACGATGTTTTAAAAAAATTTTCGAAAAATTCTCATCTTGGAATTAAAAATTTTCTACAGAAACCAATCTTAAAATCGCCCAAATGTTAATAAGTTGCCAAATTTAAAACTGTTTAATAAAAGAATTCACATTCCCAAAGCGAAAAACGTAAGTAAAAAAGTATTTAAACGTAAGTAAAAAATATTCAAAATAATGAGTGACGGTATTTCAAACAACTGGAGACATATTTGGTGTGGTTGTTGCCGCATTTTTAACTGACACCACTCTAACGGAATTGTACCATAATTAAAAAAAGAACGATATATTCGCTCAAATTTCTGTTGAATGACTGGCGACATCTCTGCCAACTTTCATGTTTAGCTCAATATCATAATCAAAACAAATGTTTAAAGCATAAAAAATATGTCAGTTTCACGTCTGAAATATTTCCCCTTTATGAAATTCTGCATAATTTTAAATGTAAACATTTGATACTAAAGTCGGCAACAAAAAGATTGCTTTTATAATTTTAGAGTAGAAATTTCTCTCATTCATTTGGCTTTTCTAACATGAATTCCATTTTTCACAAGCTCAACAATCCGGAAATTTCTCATATCCGAAATTTGACATTTTACAAGCTTTGGGGATAATTCAGCTTCTGCTATACTACACTGCAGGCATGCTAAACAATGACCTTGCACTGGTGATATTCCCTCAGACTCAATTCCAAGGAATATGCTCTATTAATTCTAACCTCTAATTACTTGTAATTTAAAATTGATTATAAACAATACTTGTTCTTAGTAATTTATATGAAAATTAATGTACTATATACAAGAAAAAATAAAACATGCTACTGATTTTAATTATACAAGCTAATAAAATATGCTGTTGATTTAAATTATACAAGTTATGTTTATATTTTTGACAGCTTTAATTTATTTAAATCTTCAGAATTTGGTACTTACATACTATGATGACTACCTAGGTATCTCACCAAAACTGGCAACTCTTGTAGGTTATACAGGTTAGCCCTAACATAGGTATAGAGGGCACTAAAATAAAGAGTACAGTCAAAAGTCGTTAATCCGGACTCATCGGGACTTCGGCGATTCCGGATTATAGATCATCAGTTTAAATCTCACAAGATAGCATGCAGAAATTCTAAAATTAAAAATATGAAACCGTAATTTATGAAATAAAGAACAATTATGATCTAAAGGGAGGGTATCAAAATTTACAAAAAAAAAAAAAAAAAAAAAAAAAAGCTTAATATTTATTTGTTTACTTTATTAAACATTTCTTTCAATGTAAGTTGCTTCGTTTTATGTGATAATACTTTCTCTTTAATTCTATAAACAGACATAATTTCTCATTCAGTTACAAAGTTCCGCTGTTCAAGTCCCGTTAATTGCTGTGCCGAGAATACTGACTAACTTGCCAATCGAAATTTTTTCGTTTTCACTAACATCTCCGTCACATTCTTCATGTCTTTATCCATTTTTTGCAGCAATTCCACTTTTTGTTTGATGAACATCGAAACATATTTTGTTTTGTAGATCCTTTGGGAGCTCCAGCATCGGAAATTCTATTTGACATAATCGAAAGTTCAAGCTTACTTTTATAAAATTGCTCTTACAGTCTGCAAAAAATAATAAACCGGATCCAATTCGAAGATTAAGGAACAACGCAATCATCAACATTAACTGAAATCGATAATTAGATAATTTTAGCTTATACCGTCCGTTACACATAAAACGGGCACGCGAAAACATATTCTGCGCTTGCGCACACTTATATGTGCAGTCGTAAAAGGTCTTACGCGCACGCGTAAACGCCTATGCGCATGTGTCAACGCGGCGCATGCGCAGAAAGTTTTTAGATATGAGGTCCGGATTATAGATCATTCCGAATTATGGGCGTCCGAATTAACGACTTTTGAATGTATTATCCCGCACTAATCAGAGTTCCAGACCAGAAAGTAACAACATTAATGCATGAAATCCAAAATAATATTCTTGAAGGCTCAACAATGTCAGAATCGTGGCCTGGATATCAAACACAGGAGCCATTGCTGCCGGTTTTGAACACTTTAAGGAGAATCATTGATACAATTTTGTTGACCCATCTAAGCAAATCCACACTCAACGTGTTGAAAGGATGTGGGATTCCGCAAAATGGAAGAACAAGCGACAACGTGGAACAAGTTGTCATCATTTGAAGACCTATTTAGTTTTAAGAGAGTTAATTTTAATTTTTTGTATTTAATATTTAGATACATATATATAAACTATATACCAAATACAAAATAAAAAAAAATTAACTTATATATATGTGTGTTTATTTATAATATGTAATATTTGGAATTTTTGGTTTTTAAGTTTTTGTTCCTTTATAATTATGGCTTTTATTTTAAATGAATTTATAAACATAACCCAAAAAACGACAATAAAGATTTTTATCGCCAAATGTTGCCAAGATATTAGTCATAGTACATAAGTACCCAAAATTTAGCACCAGAATTAACTGTTGAATGAATTGATTTATCTTTCAAAAACACTGTTTAAAATGCAAAATAATCGCTGTTACTTCTGCTTCTAATTAATTATGTAACTAAAAAGTAAATGTTTCAAATAAACTATTTATGGATCTCATATTCACTTCAGAATATAAAAGCCTGGGCTAAGCAAGGGAAAAATAACTTGTTAATATGAACAGATAAAGAAAATGAACACTTACTTTATAAAAAAGGTTCAGCCTCTGTTCAGGAGTACAATTTTGGAAAATTTCTACAGGCATCATTGGTAAGGAAGATTCTGGAATACAAGAACCTTAAATAAAAATGACTTGAAGCCAAAATTATTTTGCTCTGAGTATCTAGAGCAATTAAGGCAGCAATCTATCAAACATTACAAAAATAAACCTCTCTGTAAGAGAAATTATCCTGCTGGAGAATCAGATTAAGAGCCATAAATATTGGAACTTAGCATGTAAGATTCAGGTGATCCTCGGTCGAGATGACAACATAGGAGTTGCTCTTGGAAAAACAAGTACAAGGTAACCAAAGAAGTTCTTGCCGTTTTTGACAGTCAGAAAGAAAAAGTCATAAAACAAATAATAATCACCGCTAATCCTCGAAGTAATTACCATCAGCATCTAGTGAGTTTTGTCAGCAAGTGGCTAGCTGTGCGATACCATCACGATAAAACTCGGAGTCTTGGACACAGTCCGTAAGGGCCTTTTTGAGGTCTGGCCAGTTGTTGAAGAATTTCCCATGAAGATGGTTGTTCAGGGAATGGAAAAAGTGGTACTCTTTTGTCGCTAGGTCTGGGGAGTATGGTGGATGGGGTAGTGTCTTTCAGCCCAGTCATTGGATGGTGTCCCTGGCCTTCCAAGCCACATGCAGCCGTGCATCGTCATGGAGGAGGAGTACACCCTTATGATTGTCCAATGCTGGCTCTTTATGCATCACTGCCTAATGCATACATTCCAACTGCAGCAAGTATAGGCCTGCTGATCTTTTGGCCCACTGGCAGGAGCTCGTAGTGCAACACCACTTGGCAACTAGTCCAGCAGATACAGAGCATGATCTTGTGGGGGTGGAGAGAAGGTCTCGCAGTGTGAGGCAAAGTGTCACGTGGTGACAACCAGTGTCTGGAACACCTGGGTGTGTCATACGGGACTCACTTTTCATCACTGGTGAATACTCGATCAAATATGAATGCATTGTGGTGCTGAATAAGCAATGCCAAACAGGCAGCAACACACTGTAGCTTATTTGCATCGGATAGTAAGTGGAGTACCCACTTACTCAGTCCAGCGCTTGTGGCTGACCATTCCATAGTGCATCACTAAGAGACACATTCCCTGACCTGAAATTCTGGAACTATTGCCTAGAGGTTCATTTGTTAGCGGCATCATCCCCAAAGACCTGGCAAATTCGGTGACTTGATTCTGCTGCTGACAGGTCCACTTTAAAATCATACAGCAAGCAGCTCCCAACGAGCTCCCCTTTGATTAGGTCAGACAAGTGAGATTAGTCACAACACAAAAATAACAATGAATTCCTTTATATATATATATACGATATAACAAAATACTATGGCTGCTTTAAAAAAATAATTGGCAACCCCAAAATTAACATTCTAAATTTGGTACTCTCCCTCTAAATTCATTTGTTCTCCCAAATTTGAGATTTTTCCATCGTTATGTAATGATACTGCAAAAGGGCAACTAAAACTAAAATTAGCCAATCATAGATTAGATGTACTTGTACATCAGACTTGGTATAAATACCACTGGCTTAAATTAATTAAGTCATTATTCTTCTGTTGCATTCCTTTCCCTAGCTTTCACCTTGGCGGCATCTTTATTTTTGCTATGCCCCTTTTGTTCTTATTCTAAGATGATATAACGTGCATATAAGAAATTATCATAATTGCTGTGATTAAAGAGTATATTATCTACAAGGAATTATTCTAATGTGTGACTGGAAATTTGCAAATGAAGATGATAATTGGCTGAATTTAGTTTGGTATTAACTCCTTCTTCTCGCCGTACCACTCGGCTATCGCGACTGTGCTTTAAAAAATACTACATATATGCTCACACACACAATGGTCATCAAAATTAAAAGATAATCAGAAAAAATATGCTCACTAAATTAATGTTGGAATTAATGCCCAAGCTGTTGTTATTTATCTTAATACAATTAAACATAAAACTGCACTTCTGCACACACTTTAGAACCAGAAATATGCAAATTAGATGATTGACAATGCAGCGCGCAATGGACGCATTTTGCCTTTCCGATCCGTAGAGTTGCTTAAAGTGAATATGGTTTCTGTAGTATTCAGTAGTTATGGCTCAAAGGCATAATTTATGTGAAAGTCAAAAGTAGAGAATAATTGGTAGCATCGAAGCAAATCAAACACAAATGGAGGTTGCCTAAGATTTGAATATCCCTGTCATATCAAGAGTTTGGAGCCACTTTCTAAGCACTGGATCAGTTGATAGAAACAGCAACCAAGAGGAACAGCTGCATCAGAAGACCGCTTTCTGTTTTATTATTATTATAACATGTTTTATTATCAGTAACTGAAAAAGGTTATTAAATTTGCAATCACTACTCGAGCGCAGTTAAATGACTTCTGAATATGATCTGAAATTATTACTTATGTCTACAATACGTAGTGCAAAAATTGCACATATATTATACGAAATATTAGCATTTATATTACATGTGGAAATCTTAACAATAAGAATTTACAGCCTAAACAAATAAAATACTTGAAAAATTTCTGTTAACAAGCAGTGCAGAATTAACAGATAATAATTGCAGTATTTATAATCAGTTATTCTAACCAACTATATAAGCTATTCTAATTTATATAAAACAGAGTATTCATTTAATAAACTTGAGCACCCTTCTGCAAAATGCTACTGTGTGCAGAAGAAAAATCAGTTCTTTCCTATTATTGTCATTTTCACAAAAATATACAATATAAAATGATTTGCAATACGTATGATAGAAACCTAAATAAAAGAACAAATAATACTAATATAATATATAATAATTAAACTGATCATGGCATCACTTCAAAACACAGTCTTTCAACAAATCTCAATATATTTTTTTTTATCCTGAAGTAAGAGATTTATACACATTTTTGCTCATTTCATGCTTCACATAAAAAATACCATCTTACTGCCTTAATATTTTAGAAATCCTAATTTTTAATATATTTTTAACTTAGAAAGAATAAAAATTATTACACATGTGACTAGACAATAATGAAAAATAGCCATGTAAATGAATGAATTACTTCGCAAACATAACACAAAAATCACACATACACATCAATTAGTACACAAATATATCTACGCAAATCACCTATCAAATATACACAAATATATCTATCTATATATAACGCGATTCTAAAACCTCTAGGGGGGGGAATGAAAGGATTCGGATTTTAATGTCATACCAGAGGATTTGTTAATATATATATATTTGCTTTTGCTGAGCATTGCAGATTACCAATCTGTTGTTAGATTCACCTTTATTATCAAGCATTGCTTTCTTTACACTTACGCTTCATAAAATTCAGGAGATAAATCACAAGATAAACCAGCCATTGAAGCGGCCAGCCACTTGAAAAAGTTACAAAACAGAAAGAGTATAAAATGATACTAATGACTTCAGCTAGCGTCATTTCATAAAAATATTTAATAATATAAAAAATAATTTCAGACTTTGCATTTTGGACTTGTAATTTAGAATCACTCTGTATATATGCAATACTGTTTGGGATTACTATGAGGGTCACTCCGAAATTTTTGAGACGTACAAAGGTTTTTAAAGTTATACTTATGAGATTTTAGAAGTGTTTAAAGTAGTCTCCTTCAGCATCAATGTACACAGTGCCCTCCCCCACCCAAAAGGACAGTTCTACATTCTAAATCTCCTATTCTACTGGGCTGATTGAGGAAATTCAAATTGTGTTTTCCATGTCTCGAAAGCGCGACTTAAGATGTATATTAGATTTATATGTAGCACTGTCCTAATACAGGTATTTTGACACAAAAAACCGGACAATTTTAACAAAGTGCATAAACCACATTTGTCGTTACTATCGCTTATAACAAACATGCCAATAACTTTAACAAAGAAGTAATAAGTAAAGAATAATAAGTGCCAAATAAGTTTAATAAAGAAAAGAGATATCAAATTCAATTAACATTGAGGAGCTAATTTTTTAAAATACTATTCGTGTGATTTTTACAAAACCTGGCATAATTTGAATCACAGAATCGAAATATGGAAAAAATTGGCATGCCATTTCTGAAAAAGTCAGATTTTGTGTAAAAATACCTATCTTAGAATAATGCTATATATAAATCTAATACAGTCAAAAGTCGTTAATTCGGACAACCATAATCCGGACCTCAAAGCTAAAATCTTTCTGCGCATACGCCGCGTTGACGCATGCTCATAGGCGTTTTACGCGTGCGCGCAAGACATTTACGACTGCGCATATGCGTCTGTGCAAGCGCAGAATACGTTTTCGCGTGCGCGTTTAATGTATAACGGACGGTATGAGCTAAAATTATCTAATTATCTATTTCAGTTAATGTTGATGATTGCAATGATCTTCGAATTGGATTATTTTTTGCAGACTGTAAGAGCAATTTTATAAAAGTAAGCTTGAACTTTCGATTATGTCAAATAGAATTTCCGATGCTGGAGCTCCCAAAGGATCTAGAAAACGAAAGTATGATTCGATGTCCATCAAACAAAAAATGGATAAAGGTATATCCTTTGTTTATCTAACCGTTCCGAAATCTGTTTATCAATTTCACGCTGCTCTGCACGGGGGGGGGGGGGGGGCGTTGCGGCACGCAATGAACTGGAAGTTGATCTGTCACCACTCGTTATCTTCAGGGCAGATGTTTTTATTTTATTCGGCTTATAATTCCTTACTAAATGTAGTATTTAATCTCGATGTAATCCGTCTTTGATATGATTTAAATCAAATTCCTCGTCATTATAAATATCACGAATACAAATAAAATAGTTTTCTGGTTGCAATTTTCTAATTTCGGCTATGCGTAAGGTATGCTTTACGCATCCGCGCGTTGAAAGAAATGTTTAATAAAGTAAACAAATAAATATTAAGCTTCTTTTTTTGTAAATTTTGATACCTTTTAGATCATAATTGCTCATTATTTTATAAATTACGGTTTCACATTTTTAATTTTATAATTTCTGCATGCTATCTTACCAGATTTAAACTGATGATCTATAATCTGGAAAAATCGATAATCCGGAATCGCCAAAGTCCCGACAAGTCCGGATTAAAGACTTTTGACTGTATATAAGTTGCTCTTTCAAGACATGAAAAATGCAATTTGAATTTCGTCAATTGGCCCAGTAGAACAGGAGATATAAAACTGCCCCCTTCTTTTGGTGCAGTGTACTTCTGCAGATGAATTTTCCAATGATTAAATGCCTCAAGCCATTTATTTCTTGGAATCGATGAAAAAAAGGCATTTATAGCCTTATCAATCTCATCTTCAGAATGAAAATGTCCACACGTGTCCCTTTTTATACTAAAAATTAGCAAAAGTCACACGTAAATAGATCGAATGAAAAGGGTAATGTTCTATCACTTTGATGTGTTTTTGTTCCAAGAAACTCAACCGTCAAGCTTGCTGAATGAGGAGATGCATTGTCATGGTGGAGCACGAGTTCTCTATCATTCACTTCTTGAAGAATTTCTGGAAGACATTTTCATAGTGTACCAGTTAGCTGTGACTGTCTTCTGTCCTTCCAGCTTGATGGTTTTGACAAATCCTGTACTTCAAAAGAAAACGACATACATTACTTTCTTTATGGCATGCTGTCTTTTCCCCGTTGTGGGTGTGGTACCCGTACTCTTCAAAATCCATACTTTATTTTTTTGACGTGTTGGAATGTCAAAAAATAATACGTACAGTGGCTATCCTTTAAGTAACTTAAGGGTTTATTTACTGATTCTGACATGCTCCTCTTTTAGATGCTTGGTTATGTCCCAATCACATTATGTTTTGGCTATGCGGGACTGGAATCGAAAGGGATAATTCTCAGAACCCGCACATTTTAAGGAAACCCAAGCAGCTAGGTTACCATTTTCCCTCAGTATAAAGACTTGAACGTTCAACAGTAATAGATTATCATTCAGATTGGGATCATGTGATCCTTCATGAGCAGAACATTCGTCTGATTAGCTAATCTCTACCCGGGACAGAGCTCCACCCCAGACATTTTCAGTCAGGTTTGAAAAATTCCCATGTAGCTGCTACATTGTTTCTGTAGCTAGGCAGGGATTTGCTTCCAGCGGGGCTCTTTTTTCTAGGAATACTCCCGTTTAAACCAGTGCTACCAGAATCTTGCTTATCAGAAAAGTTCCGTCTAGCAGGGACTGTTGCTAGAAATGATAACCCCTTTAAATTATGAAAAATCCAACGGTAAAATAGTTTTTCATATGCAATTCTTCATGAATAATTTTATGTATGGAGGTGTATTCAATGTTAAGAACCTTCTGTATTATTTGGTAAGAGCAGCGATTATCGTCGATTAACATTTTCCGTATGCAGACACATTATCCGGGATCCATTATGCTGACAATGGACTTTCTGTGTGTTCTTCATTGTGAAGAGAGTTGTAACATCTGTGAAATTCTGTAAACCATCTGAATACAATAGCACAAGATGGGATTAGAGTAAACTGAAGGATGCCCCTTGTATTATCGTGAAGTTCCATTTATCCCCAAGTTGTTGCTTTATTTATCGCCAGGTTGTTGTTTCATTTATGGTAACCTGAGTAGCTGAATGTTATGGAAATCCTATTATGACACAATCAGTTGCATGGTTGCGGTAAATTTTAAATGATGGGAAAGATTTGTAAGGGCTTGCGGTGTAAGTTGGTTAGGAAATACATTGCTTGTTTTGTGGTTTAGATGGTGGAATGGCTGAATGTGGTAAGATTAATTTGAAGTTTCTGTACGATCTGGAACGAAAGGGGAAAAAAAGCATTACTTGACTGGTGCGTAAATAAAGGTTTACTTAGTAGCCATTATAAGTGTTCAGTTTGTAGGAAGGAAATGCGTATGGTTGAAAGTCGAAGAATACCGGCACTATGGAGGATATTTTTGACTCCTATTTTTGTTAATTTATGTGGCGACACACATATACGGATTCTAGTTCAGATAATTTTAGGAATTTTTTGGATGCTGTTAAGGAATTTTGTGTGCCACAGACTGAAAAGACACAGAAATTTTTAAATAAGGTAAGTGGATATTTGCTTTGCGTAGTGCTTAGATGCATAAGATGAATTTCCCTTTTTATGTTATTTTATTGTTTGATTTAAAATGTAATTTATTGAAATTACGTATTTTTTGTTTGGCTTTACTGTAGAATTGGGTGCTCCTTTGATGTTTTAAGTAAAAATAGATCAATGTGTGCACGGACAAAGTCAAAGGAGTGCATAATGCCAAGTTTGTGCAATTCTCTGTTTTTGTTTTTAAGTGAAAATAGGTCGATATGTACATGGATATGGTCTATGGTCAATGTCTTTGTGTAGCGGCAATTTTTGCCCAAAAGTTGCCACTACATAAAGGCAAAATAACAAATCAAAGAATTAATTGCACAAACTCGGTATCCATGTACTGTCAAAAATCACCAACATTCGCCAAGGGGCACCCGTTTAATATACCCAAGATGGATCTTCATTTCCACAAGCTAACTCTAGATGCTGAACACATTCTTCTTGATTTAATCCTACTTTCTAATCATAGAGGGATAATGTTCTCATATCAACTCCATTTTTCCTTCTGCCTTAAATATATTCTACTTTAACTACTTGCAACTGGCCAGTAGAAAATCGTCTATTAGGCTAAAATACTAGTTCATGTTTTTAAAATTTATTTCTACCACTTATCATCTACAACTATCTAAAATATTTCAAAGTGACCTACATAATCCAGTTTTCAAACATATAAGCATATGTGAACTAGAAAAGGAGATAATTGCAATAAATCCATTTTAAAGAGCTATTTAAATTCAATTTTCTTCTGATGCTCAATAAAAAAAGATTTCATATATAAACACTCTCATTCAGCATACTTAAATTAATAGAATATTTTTAAGGATATTGTTCTCAAAATGGAAAATTGTTTCATTATGCACAACAAAATATTTTTTAAATATTTCTTCAAAAAATAGGTGAAATGAAAAATCTACATACTTCTATATGGCAATTTTGGTGGGGGGCGACATTTAAACAGGAAACCTAGCTTATTTTTGATGAACTCAAAGAGCCTAATTTTTGCATTTTCTTCTTCAGTCCTGAAAAGAATTTATACCAATATATTAGATGGCAATACATAAATGATGAGAAAAAAATTTTACATTTCTTGGATACATTTATTTACATAAAAATTTGGTACTCTTCTGTTATCAGGATAGGATTCAGAAATATATGTATGTGTGTTTGCACACATACATGTGTACATACTTATGTACACTGCGAAAAAAGGGGGAACAGTTCTATACCTCCTATTTTACTAAGCTGATTGACGAAATTCAAATTGCGTTTTCCATGTCTCAAAAGCGCGACTTAGATTTATATATTGTTCTAACATAGGTATTTTGACACAAAATCGGACTTGTTCTGAAATAAGCATACCAATTTTTTTTCCATATTTTAATTCTACAACTCAAATTATGCTTAGATATTAAATTTTGTAATTTTTGGTGAGAAATTTATCTCGGCGAATTTTTTTTCAGTTTGCACCAAGAATAATTCACTTGGCGAACTTCTTAATTTATAGCAACCTATTTTCCTTTCCTTTTTCTTCACTGTCCATGAGCAGGGGAAAAGTCATCGTTCATACTTTAAAATAATTTTTAACAAAGTACGTAAAAAACATTTTCGTTATTATTGTTTATAATAAATACGTCAAATTTCAAAACGCACCAAAATATAAATTCATCTATATCTTACAAAATTTTGAATAATTTAAATTTTTTGCAGGTATGCTTAGAAATAAATCTACTTTAAGACGATGGCAAAACTTTTATAGGTTATAATTCAAAATTTTTTTAAAAAAATTTATAAGAATTGTTTAAAAATAGAGTTTTTAAACATAAATCATAAAAAAATAGGCAAATTTTATCTGGAATGGACGTAAATTTTGAAATATGAAAGGAAGAATCAAATAAGTTTAATTAAAAAAAAGAGAGATTAATAAATATACACTCACTTCCAAAAGTTAAGCACGGAGAGGAAAATGATAAATTTCCAGAAGCCAATCAGAATTGAAGAGGATGTAATTCGCTGCAGAGGTAGATTGAAATATGCAAATATGTTAGGTAACAGCCAATCACGGTTTCATGTCAAGAAATATGCAAAAAAAGGCAGTCTTATAAGAAGCCAGCTTTATGAAGGGTTAGAGAAGTTGATTGTAAGTGCTGATAGAAGAAGTTTAAAACTTTCGTACAATTTGTTTTCAAGATATACGTGTTTCTACGACTTCCAGAAGACAAATGGAAGATTCTGAGCGCTGGCGTGCTGTGGGGCGCATTTAAGCAGGACAGTAGATCCCAGATGTTGGTTGCTCTTTTCTTCGGCGTTCATTATTCTGTAACTTCACGTTTATGGAAACAATTCCAAACCACACAGACAGTTGTCTGAAGGCCCAAAGCCGGTCGCCCAAGGCTTACAAGCCCCAAGGAAGATCGATATACAGTCAAAAGTCATTAATTCGGACACACATAATGATCTATAATCCGGACCTCAAAGTTAAAAACTTTCTGCGCATGTGCCGCGTTGACACATACGCGTAAGACATTTACGACTGCGCATATGCGTGTGCGCAAACGCAGAATATGTTTTCGCGTGCGCGTTTTATGTATAACGGACGGTATAAGCTTAAATTATCTAATTATCTATTTCATTTAATGTTGATGATTGCGTTGTTCCTTCATTTTCGAATTGGATCCGGCTTATTATTTTTTGCAGACTGTAAGAGCAATACTATAAAAGTAAACTTGAACTTTCGATTATGTCAAATAGAATTTCCAATGCTGGAGCTCCCAAAGGATCTACAAAACGAAAGTGTGTTTCGATGTCCATCAAACAAAAAGTGGAATTGCTTCAAAAATGGATAAAGGATGAAGAAGGTATGGATAGAGAGGTTAGTAAAAACGAAACAAATTTCTGATTGACAAGCTAGGTCAGTATTCTCGGCACAGCAATTACGGGACTTGAACAGTGGAACTTTGTAACTGAACAAAAATTATGTCTATTCATAGAATTAAAGAGAGAGAATTTTATCACATAAACGAAGCAACTTAAACAACTTACATTGAAAGAAATGTTTTAATAAAGTAAAATTAATAAATTATAAAGCTTTTTTTTTTTTTTTTTTTGTAAATTTTGATACCCTTTAGATCATAATTGTTCTTTATTTCATAAATTACGGTTTCATATTTTTAATTTTAGAATTTCTGCATGCCATCTTACGAGATTTAAACTGATGATCTATAATCCGGAGAAATCGATAATCCGGAAACGCGTGGAATCGCAGAGCTACCTCCACACGTATGACATCTATGGTTACGGCGTCCTTTGGTAAGGCGATATCTGTAGCTACTGTACGCCGAAGATTAAATATAAGTGGACTGTACGTCCGGGTACCTTGCGTTTGTGTTCCTCTATCCGTTCAATCAAGAGGGGCACGTTTACAATGGTGCTGGGAACATGCCAATAGGAATGTGTCTGATTAGGGCAATTTCATGTTTACTGATGACTCAAAATTCGCTCTGGAGCCAGATGACAAGCGTATAAGGATATGGCGTGAACAACGAACATGCAATCAGTCCCAAAACATCACTGAACATCACGCATCCCGAGGTGGAAGTATTATGGTGTGGGCAGGATTTCATTAGGATACCACACTGATCTGCACATCTTTAAACGGGGTTCTCTGACAGCTGTTCGGTATCAAGATGAAGTCCTAGAACCCAGTTTTGTTTTAATGGACGATAATGCACGTTGCCATAGAGCTGACATCGTCGATGACTACCTGGAGAGTGAAGGGATTGCATGTATGGCGTGGCCAGCATATTCCCCCGACCTTAATCACATTGAAAATCTTTGGGATGCTCGCGGCCGTGCTGTATCTTCACGTTTCCCACCTCCAGCCACTCTTATTGAGCTGAAAACTGCTCTACAAGAAGAATGGCGACTGTTTAATTCTGCGGTGGTTGACCACCTAATTGAAAGCATGGTCACAAAGTTGTAAACTTTGTATACTAATGAGGGGGATTACATACCCCATTAATGTCCGTTTTTTTTTTTTCATTTTATGCTTGTTTATTTTCACTTTATACATAATTCTGTTTAGATCTCCAATATGTCATTATCTGATAAATTACAAAAATTTTATATTGTTTTCATTTCTGTATATAATTAGTATTCATTTCTGTATATAATATTATTCAGCACCAAAGCCATAACTAGATATTTGGGGACCCTAGGGAAACAGACGATGAAGGGGCTTTCTATTTATTTCTTTTCATCCTCCCCCCCCTAGTTGTGGCTGATCATTTTATTAATAACTAAAGTAGCTTTATACCAGGGATAACCAATCCGCAGCACAGCGAAGTTTTAACAGTGACACGCAAAGACTTTTAATTAAAGAAAATTAAGAGATTTGAAAAAATAATAATAGCATCTGTATGAACTCTATTGACAGATACACACATAAGTACATTAGAATAAATATAAAAGCTTGGTCCTGCAGTGAAACGCCCATGGCGAACGTCTGAGACACGAAATGAGAAACAGCCTGGTACCTGGCGGCTTTATAAGACTGAAATTTAACTGACATTTTAATTTACGTCTTCTTCCGCTTGCAGCGCCATCTGTTGCTAACTTTTGAAACTAAATTTTTTCTTCTGCCATACGCTTTTCGCCTTCTTCAATAACATTCCTTTCAATTTGACGTCATTTTCATGAGTGCTTCTTTTTTATAGCGTTTTGAAACTTAAACTTTAATTATAATCACCCTGTATATATATATATATATATAATATGGTAGACCTTTATATTTTTGGAAAAGGGTTTATTTAATTACGTTTCGATTCTATTTTTTTGATTTGATATCAGTATATATATATATAAATGTATGTAAGGTATAAGAAAATACGATAGCTGCTTTAAAAATAATTGGCGACCTCAAAATTAACATTCTAGATTTGGTGATATCTCCCTAAATTCATCTGCTCTCCCCAAATTTGAGAATATTCTTTGTTCTACTGGAAAAGAGCAACTAAAACTAATACATTCACTTCCAAAAGTTAAGCAAGGAGAGGAAAATGTTAATTTCCGGAAGCCAATCAGAATTGATTACAACGCCCGCGGAAGATCGATATATTGCTATTGTAACCAAGCGGAATCGCAGAGCGACCTCCACACGTGTGACACCTATGGTTACAGCGTCCATTGGTAAGGCGATATCTGCAGCTTCTGTACGTTGAAGATTACATATGAGTGGACTGTACGTCCGGGTACCTCGAAGTTTGTGTTCCTCTATCCCGTCCAATCAATAGGGACATGATTACAGTGAATGTGTCTGACTGGGACAACATGTCATGTTTACTGATGAGTCAAGATTTGCTCTGGAGCCAGATACAAGCGTATAAAAATATGGCATGAACAAAGAACATGCAATCAGTCCCAAAGCATCACCGAACATCACGCATTCTAAGGCAGAAGCATTATGGTGTGGGTAGGGATTGCATTGGGATACCGCACCGAACTGCAACATCTTTAAACGGGGTTCTTTGACGGCTGTCCAGTATTGAGATCAAGTCTTAGAACCCATTGTGAGAATTGTACGCTGCAGCAGTTGGTCCTACTTCTGTTTTAATGGACGATAACGCACGTCCCCATAGATCTGACATCGTTGATTACTACCTGGAGAGTGAAGGATTGCGCGTATGGCGTGGCCAACATATTCGACCGAGCTTAATCCCATTGAAAATCTTTGGGATGCTCTCGGCCGTGCTGTACCTTCACATTTCCCACCTCCAGCCACTCTTATTGAGCTGGAAACTGCTCTACAAGAAGAATAGCGATTGCTTAATTCTGCGGTGGTTGACCACCTAATTGAAAGCATGGTCACAAAGTGTAAACTTTGTATAAAGATGAGGGGGTATCACATACCCTATTAATGTCCTTTTTTTTTTCATTTTATGCTGTTTATTTTCACTTTATACATAATTCTGTTTAGATCTCCAATATGTCATTATCTGATAAATTACAAAAATTTTATATTGTT